AATGCCCATCTAATACTATGTATGGGGGATGGTTTCTCTCTCTCTGTCTCTCCTTTTCTCTTCTTTCTTTCTCACTCTCAAAAAAACAACTAGAGATGCCTGTTTGCAAGCAGGCACTTTAGTTGTCTCCATTTTATCTGAGAAGCGTTAATCTACAAGAGCTCACAATAGAAAAGCTCATCAGCTCCTGTCTTCATTGCTCCTCTGAACATGGAACGGGCATGATAGCTGTGTTTAAAAACACATGCGATTGCCTCAGACTGGGGGCAGTCGTCAGGCAAGAAACGGATGGTCTAGCTGGGCCTGAGCCCGGGATCCTGGTGTCAGCGCAGGACAGGAATCTGAGGGGAAGCCCTGAGCTCGGTTCATCCTTTCTCGAGGCAGCAGGAGGTGTGAGCGAGAGCTGCAGAGGCGGTGTCTTAAGCCCCGAGTATGGCAGACTATTACTAGGGTTTCCATGTCGGTACAGTGCCTTCCTGGAGGACCTGCTTCCAAAGTCTACACCCACCGGGAAAGCCCTCTGTGAAGCGAGCAAGTTGTGCCGTGGCTGAATAGGACAGTGCAGGTCTAGGATGCAGTCTCTACCCCCGGAGCTAAAGAGGAAACATTGAGCTCCCGCGCGCCAATAAACTCTTTTCTTCCATGTGCATTTTCCAGGAGAGGAGGATGCTACACGCACAGCTGGTCCGTCTGTGACCCTGCACAGCAGCTTCAGGAGCTCCTCCAAAGAGGGGTCAGCAAATAAAAAAAACTTTAGGAGGCATCAGGACAAAACCAAAACAAATCACAGGTTTTCTGGGAAAGCAAAACACAGGTGGCAGATAGCTGATAAGTGATGGCTTTGAACTCCCAGGAAATGCTGAGCGGAAGTGCAAGTATCTCACTGGATTCCTGGGGCATTGAGTGCATGGACTGTCTCTCAGATCCCGAGTGTCTTGAAGGTTTGCCCAGTGTATTCCTTAATAGATGTTCTGGCAGATCGCCGCACCTGCTCTCTCTAGTTCCTCTCACTCCAGCTTCTAGCCACGACCTCTATTGCTTATGGCAAACTTTGTTTCTTTGGCCCTGGCTGGCAAGATGCATATCCACAAATGCACCCCATCTGGGTAGTGAAAGTGTGAGGAATTTGGTCCTTCTTCCTGTAGAGTGCGTGGCTGGGGGAAGTGCTGCAGTTATGCTCAGCCGGCAGCGGGGGAATGGAGTCTTGAAGACATTAAAGTCCTTTTAGGTGCTCACGTACCTCCGTGCTTTATAAAAGCCTACCAGGTGCCTCCCCGGCAAGAACTGGCCCCAAGTGACTTGCTCAGAGCTGGTCCAAGGGGTCTCCCTAGGACTGGCTACCTGACGTCACCCAGCTTTTATACCCTCCTGGCAGACCCTTGCTCTTATTTCCACATCACTCCGTTTTGCATTTTGCAAGAGGTGCCGTGGAAGGAGGTCCCTCTTGTGCCAGATTCGCCTGTAAATGTTTTTTTGATGGTGAATGCTAAAGCAGGATGGAAGAGGGGAGAAATAATTTTAAAACTAAATCTGCTGGAATGAGGATTTTTGATGTGAAAAGGTACAGACACGAGAACCTTGAAGGCACATCTAATTGTATGTGAAAAGATAACCTGGGCCGGGTCTTTGAAGACATTACTATTTACGAGGAACGTTTATTCACAGGGTTCCAGCAGTGGTCGGATTTCTTCTTAAGTATTCAAATAGGGTTGTTACAAAACAATGATCTGCAAAAATATTGGTAAAATTCTTGATTACCATGAAGCTTTACATGGGATTTTGAGTTAACCACCCAAACTAATTAAGTGAAATTATCCTAATTTGTTTATTATGTTAATGATCTGAATTAATTTATAGTAATTTAACATGTATTACTAAAGATTTATTATGTTTCCCACCAAATTACTTAAGAGCTATAAATCCCATGGTTAAATTGTAATTAGTGGAGACATATTTATCGAAAGGGATAATTACATCTGATAAAAGTTCTTCAGTTAGGCTTAATTAAAACAGATTATTCCCCCATAAATGAAAAGTAAATATGGTAATTACTGGGTAGATTTTCATTGCAAAAATGAATATCGCAGCATTTTAATTTTCTAAAGGGGTGGGAAAGTAAACTCTATAACTGATTACTTCCCAATAAACTATGATTAATAATCCCTGGGAAACAGACATTTTATAGGAGTAAACATTTTGCTACTTAATGACTAAAGAGTAGACACTAGTCAGAAGAATCAACCATTAACTCATTTTTTAAGTGAACTGTTGCTGTTTTGAACCATAATGAAGACTGCGTTAGGAAAATTAAATTTTCTCCAATAAGACTAACCCTAGTTCATCTAAGTAGCAGTGCTGGGGGAAAATGACAGTTAAGCACCCTGGAAATAATTTTTACTGATGATAATATGAGTTGTGGTTTCTTAGATGTACACTAAATTTACAATATTTTCTGAGCTAACGTAATATATTTAATGCACATCAGTGCACATGCAGAGATTAAACAGTAAATCCATGTTTTCATAATTTATAAATGCATTCTGTTTCAAATCACTGTCCATGAGGATCCTACTTGCAAGCTGCATTGCAAACAGGCCACTGTTGAGTGAGGCAAAACCATACGCACGCACACGTGTGCATGTGTGTGCATGCATGCGTGTGCACACACTCTTTACTGCAACAAGATCCACCTGGCAGAAGAAGCCAGGAATATCAGGGAACAAAATGGTTATGAGCTCTGATTCCTAGGCTGAGGTGAGGTAGAGCAGGTGAGGGATTTTGCATTGAAATATTGTGGGTTTTTTATCATGCAATGCAATTTCTTCAGAACTGAAATTTTTCCTTTGCAAAATTTTAAAACTTTGCGAGTTTTTACTTTTCCATTGGGATTTTTTGTTTAATGGAATATTTTGGTCTGAGTCAAGCTTGTCTGAAATGAAATCTCTGGGGTTTGAAACTGAATACAAGCATGTTGCACGGTTTGACAGTAGCTTGTCTGTGGTGCCCCGTGGGGTTGTCCATCAGATGCATTGCATTTCCCTTCTCTTCTCTTGGCCGGGTGCAGCTGGGCACAGTCTACTGCCACCCAAGTAACTGCTGCGTGTATCGGGGAGGAGGGACCTGGCGGGGGAGCCAGCCCCCATGGCAGAAGGGGTAGGCGGCTCCTGGACCAGTTCCCACACGCAGCAGCGAGTTCCTGGAAGACGCAAGTTCCCGTTGAGCCGAGCCGGGACACGAGCCTCTTGGAATTTCCCCCCACAATGTTTAGTTCTCTGGCAGACTCTTTATATTTCATTCTTGCTTCCTGTGTTGAGTAGCAAACACATTTAGAAATATCAGTATTTCCCGCTGGACCTAACTCTAGCGTGACATTTGGTATAGTCCCTTAGGAATGCTATGGACTGTAATCTGGCTACCAGATGTAACAGAAATCTTGAAATGATAGTAAAAGGAACATGATGTAAAATGACAGGAGTTGAAAGCCAGAGGCATGATCAAGCATGAAAAAGAGCTGATATTTCTACTCCTTTTGGAGTCTTCCTTGCATGAAATAACAGGTCTGGGGCACTGCAGCCCGAGGAGCCTCTGACGATTAGAAACATGTGCCTAACCTCAGATAGCTGGACTAGTTTATTCAAGTGTGCAGGGCAGGGTGGCGCCTTGTAGATTAACTCGTTCAGAGGCATACGTTTTTGTAGGCAACAAACTACTTTGTTAGATACCGTGAATTCAAAGAAGGCGGTCACCTATGAAAAATCATGCCTCTCTGAATGAGTTAGTCCTTAAGGTGCTACCCTACCCTGCCTTCTGCCTGACTTCAAACTAATGTGGCTAACTACCTCTCTCTTCTCAAATGTGTAATTACACAAGAGCTCTGAGCCCAGGCTCTCAGACCCACCGCGAAAGCACGCTTACATCAGCTGGCCTTTCTGCGAGAGTCGGTGCTGGGTCTGGGGAATGGGTGCAAGTTAGTTTTGCTAAAATAAGGATGCAGTGGGGCAAGGAGCCCCTGGAGCAGCAGCCCACGTTAAACATCAGGGCTGGGCTCGGCAGATGCATGTTGGAGGAGGCCAGCTTTTAACGGGGTGGGACCTGGCTATCATAGCAGCTAGTCGGAGCGGAGGTGCTTGTGCTGACCACCGCAGCTTATGGTTTACCATGGGAAACCCATCACAACAGTAGGGGTGGGGCAGTGGGCAAGGGGCTGCTGATGTCGGTACAGATTATATCTGTCTGGGTTTGAAGCAGAGCGTGGAGACTGGATAAGGATTCTAGATGCTGCGCTGGCCAGGAAGCACGGCTGATAGCCGGGGAGCCAGACGTGTGTACGATGCTTGCGCTTCTGGCACGCGGAGCTTTTCAGGCTGCTCAGCTCCTGCTACCTTGCAGAAGAGCATGTGTGCCTTAGAGGAAGGGACAGCGTGAGCCTGCAGTGTCGTGAAGGAAAGGCATGTGAATCCCTGGGGCTCGATCCCATGTACAGCATCATCCAGTGAAGCCCATGGGAGTCTTTCAGCTCACTGCAGCCAGTTTTGGGTTTGCACTGCAAGGCAGTGTCCTTGCGAGGCTATCAGCAGGGCCGAGTGCCACGGGACAGCGGTGGGATTGTGTTGGCCCGGGATGTCCTTGCTGCTTTCGTGCATCTGCCACGGTGTGGCAATAAGGTGTTGTGAGCAGCGCTACAGTTTCTCTTCACATCGTATCATTTCCCCTCCCTCTCCAAATACTTTTGAACACCATTAACTCTGCTAGCAAAGATTAACGCATGGATTCTTGCTAGGTGTGTGAGACATTAACAATGATGTTCCTGTATTTGATATTCATAGACCTTTTTAAAATATTTTTATTCATCATTTCAAAGGATTACTTCTAAATACTGAACTGATGTATCCTTAATCCTCTCTTCATTTTGGCCCAGAAAAGGAAAAAGTCTCTCTCTGTACCTTGCTCCATCTACATTTTCCGTTGACTTTTCTATTATTAATGTTTGCTATTTCCAGAACGTAACCGGCCTACCAAGAAGAGCTTTTAGTCACCCAAATGATCTCCACATCTCCTTAAACATTTTCAATGCGATGATTACAGCAGCAGAAACTGCTCGTGAAATCAACTCCTGTCTGAATTGTTAATGACTGCAGCAGACCAGCACTCCTTCCTCCGCTACAGATCCTGATTCTGTTTTGTCCCTTCTAACAGCCGAACAGATTAGTGCACTCCAGATTTTCTTCCAGCTAGGCTCAACATTTGGTTAGTCATTCATGACTTTAAAAAATACATGACAGTTATTTATTTATTCATTGAAAATCCAGCCTGGTTTTCTGGATCTTTTAATAGTTTTTTCCCCTCATCTGGTTTTGCTTGTTCAAAACTTGGCTGGAATTTAGGGGACGGGATATGTGCATCTGTTCAGTATTGGGACACATGCTGACTGCATCTCTGACCTGCAGAAATAACACCTGTGTCTGTGTTTGGAACCCGCTTCTTTTCATAGATGATGTCGGATTCAGGCCGATTGATTTTGTGCTCCATACAAACAAAGGAAACTTTGCTCGTCTTCCTGTATCCTAAGTATAGTGGAGCCAACCGAACCCCTGATAGAAGTCAGTGGTGTGAAGCTAGTTTCTCTGCACGCTGCATGAGCACTGTGTACTGTCCCTGCATGGAGGGGGAATTTCTACTGCTTCTATGGCCTCGCTTTTCTCTGCCCGGCACCCAGGGGCCAGCCCCTCTGAGAGCCCAGTGGTTGTAAGGGGCTAGCAGGCCAGGAGTGTTCAAGACAAGGAGCTGCATGTCCAGCAGGAAATCTCCAGGAAAGCTGGCCCTGCTGGGAGTAAATGCAGGCTGCAGAGTCCTTGATGGCTCTGCTCTGGTGGGACCTGGCTGCTCAGGAGATCGACCGGGGGCCCATTGTACTCGGTGCTGGACACGTGTACCAAAGACTTTATGCTTGCTCCAGCACCTATGGGCAGGTGCCTCTGGAACTTGAGGGGCCGATCCTGCACACCTTGGCAATTGCCATGCAGGACTGGGTCCCTCAAACTTGGGGAGCATCTGCCTGGGTTTCCCCTCCAGGGCGTGTCTCCAAGTGGGGAACACTTCACTCGTTGTCCTGCAGAATCAGGTCCCTGCCCAATGCAAGGCCACAGGCAATTGTGTTTCTGCCACAGCTGGTCCACTTCATCTGTTCATAGTCGAAGTCTGATGTGTGGTGTGGTGTGAGAGCATTGTTGGCCATGGGACCTGGCAAGTGGCCCTCTAATGGGCACTCCACGTGGAAGACCATGCAAGTAACTGCACAGGGTTGTACTGATTTTTGTTGGTCAAGACCCTAGTTCAGCATCTGGCTGCAGAACATACAAGGTGAGCGCAGCCCGACTGTCTGCAATTCCTGGATGCTTGCGTCCAAGGCTGTTTTAGAGCCACTGCAAAAATGTGAATCATTAACGTTAATCACTGAAATATTTGCATGCACTTGTGGCTGCTGTTTAATCTATTGTTATATGATATTATTTGACATTTTGAGCACTTAGCCCCTGGGTTATTTTACACAGCTTAAAACTAAGATCAGTATTGTGTTAGCTATGGTACGTGGTAAATGCCATTGACAAAGTTCAGCTTGTTTTCTAGTCATCTTTATCAGATTTCAGTTAACTCTTTGAAATTGCAGCGCAGCAAACAGGCCCCTGTCTATTCTGAAGCAAGACTGACTATCCTTAAATACCGAATTAGATTATTATTCCATACCCATACTAACCATGATGGCACATGGGCAGAAAATACGCAAATACTGTGTTGTATTCTTCAGACTACTGCACTGAATACAGATCTGTGGCAGTTTTAAGTAGAAAAGTGACAGCAAATTATAGATATTAATCCCTTGAGAGTAACTTTAAGCAGCAGTTAAAGACAAAGAGGAGTATAATCCACAGAGGATGGAAATTGCAGCATCCACGCAGCATTGTATTACATAAATGTTACCAAACTGGAATGTAAATTTCCATAATTTGGTAATAGGGCATAATGCATAGCATTGTGAATGGGCTGAGTTGTCTGAACCGGAGAGGAGGGGAACTCTGTGCTGCTGCTTTCTTTCTGGGATGTAGAGTTCAAAACACAGCGATCAGATGTAGTCCAGTCCCTGCTTTCCTTACTTCTGGTTAGTTATTCATAAGGATGTTCGTAAAGAAAAATGTCTCCTTATGGGACACAGACCATAGCAGGGAAGTCAGTCAAGCATGGCACCTCTTAAAATGTTATTTCTGTTGTGGCTCCCCTTAGTGAATTGACCCAAGCATCAGGAAATGACTCGAATCTCAGTCGTGTTTGAAAGGCAGAGATACAAATTGCCAGGCAGATGAGTCCCATTTGCATCTTGGGGGTCGCTTCCCTCCCCAGCTCTCAGGGCGAGCAGTGCTCCCCGTCCGGCATCGCTCCTGATCCTTAGGGGTTCGGTACACCTTGTTATCGCTTACTTGACTCTGCTTGGGTAAGAGAGGGTTTCTCTGGAAACACGTTGTACAAACTGAAAGAAAAAACAAACCCTGGCAGGTCACAAAACAAGCCTCTAGCGAGTCAACTATATCAGGACAGAGGCAGGTCGACACTAGAAGGAGACCTTCAAACAAAGACATCAAGAAGGATTTCTTTTGGGGGAAAGGGATGATTGGCGAGTGCGTTAGCAAACAAGCTGTGTAGGTGCTGTGTAAATGGACAGCCCTCCCACCACGGAGAAGAACTTGAATTTAATTCTAACTGTGTTAAAGACCGGCTCATTTGGAAGGTGTGAATTCCCATGAACCGTGCACATAAAAACCGGTTTGTTGAGTGTGTGCTGGGATGCTGCCCGAATGATGCACCAGGACAAAATAATTGAGATGTTGCTTGATCCCGATAGTGTGGAGACCCTGTAACACTCGTGGGCTCCAGCGTGACCCAAATGCATGTAAGTTAATGCCAAGTTCCAAATTATCTACCCGGGAGACCTGGGCAAACTGACCCGTTTACTAAAGCCGGATGGAAAATTTTCATTCAAATAGGTTTGGGTTTGGGTTTTGTTTTGTTGAAAAACTATTTTTGTTCATAAAATAGTAAAGACTTCAACAGCAATTCCCATGGAAAAATATTTCAAAGTGGGAGAAATATAACTTCATAAAATTTATTTAGAAAAACATTGACATTTTAAAGCTGAAAATTAAAGCTGAGAATTTAAAATGAAATTTTCACTTTCTGTCAAATTCTCCAAAAGTAAAATTTGGAAATTCTGCTTCATAGGAAATTTTAGAAATACCTGTTCTTATTCTGTACTTCAATGAAAAAGACATCCAAATACTAGGATTTACCACTAAACGGAAATCTTGAACACTATTCTTTAGAATCAAGTCATTTTAAATGTTACTGTGCATAATCAAAACCATCCTATTAAACAACACAAGAAGATGCACATGATATCAAAGTCCCATTTAAAACCATCCACTGGGTCACTCGGCTTCTTATCCATGTAGCTTATAATCGCACGTAATATCTTCTGCTGATGTACAGATAACATGTCTGACAATTTACCGTCTCTACCCATTCCTGTAACAGGCTTATAACATCTATAAACCGTGTATCAACCTTTTACAAACCAGTTATAAACCTTACTATAAAATGTGACTTGGGGGGGAGAGCCAAAAGCATGTTAACTTTGTGCGTGAAGTGGGGTATTTTAGAGGGTGGTGATTGTTCTCGTTAGAGTTCTGTGTAACGACCTACAAGGGCAGGATTCTTTATCTGAAGAGAAGGACAGACAGCTCCTCCTTTCCTTCCTTTAATTCCTGCAAAAACTGGTGAAGAGAACCACGAAATCCAACAAGAAAAGGGCTTTTTCTGCAACTGCACAGGAATGCTCAGGCAAGCTGGTTGTTCCTTTCTTCAGGGGCTTCAGTAACAAAATCTACTAGTCTACTGACTAGTCTTGCCATGGACTGGAAGAATGAGATGGCTCATCCTTTCTGTTACCCTTCTTTGTGGGGGCCCTGCATCCCAGAGCAAAAGGGTCATTGAAGGAAACCAAGAAGCCGTAAGGGTGATCGACTCCAAGAAGGTTAGCTTGTAGGCTTTGATCTTTACAACTCAGAGCATTTCTGTCTGATGCAGCAAACAAGCAAAGGCTGACTGGAGGCCCTCTTAATTAGCAATACATTTCAGTTCCTTCGGAGATTATTCAGTGGCATAGGGCTATAAATAGAGCTGGTGGAAACTCAGACTTTCCATGTTGTAGGACATTGTTTTACATTTCAGAACTTGTTTTCATTATTGTTTTCACAGTTAATTACTCTTTATTAAAGAAAAACAGAAGTCTCGGCAGAACAAATTATTTTCCTATATAAATAATGAGGGGGCTACAAATGGTGGAGGTGACACAATGCAGAAGAGACAAATGTAAGCAGTACTCCAGTGAAAATTATAGGGTGTGTATATTTTTTCCTACAGAACTGCAGGGTAGTATTGACAACTTGAGGTTAGGTTGGCAATGTGGCTTCACCCAGCAGCTTCCTCCAGCAGGTGGGGAGAAACGAATCTGGACTTTGCGCTCGGTAGAAGTTCCTCATCGAGGGGAGTGCAAGTGGGAAGTGATGACGGGGTGTCTTTGCACAATGGAATAGGAGCAGAATTCACACCAAGTCCTGGCTACTTGACACTTGGCTCCTGTGGTGAGAGGCTGTAATACAGTGTGTATTCTGATGTCACTGAGAGGCACAGATTTAGATGAGGATCCCATTGTGCTTGGCATGCATCTTGGCAACCGTCGATCCTCTGGATCATGGTGTATGTGCAAGAGGTCTTTGTGACCATCGCACCAAGACCTTCAGTGTGTACGCCTGGGCAAGAGTATGGAGGAGTGGAGGCTGACCAAGCTCTACCATCCCCCCTGTACACCATTGAGGCAGGGTCCAAAGGCCAGACCAAGTCCAGATGTTCGGTGCCTCGATGGTTGTAGCGTCTGCCAGAGAGCAACAGATGGGAACTGCTGCTGACTGCCTAGTGCCTCAGGGAGGCCGCATTTCTGTCAAGTCCCTTAGCCTTTCTCCAACCATGGAGCATCCACAAGGCAGTGGGGGCTGGGGTTGTGAGGTTCCTTGTATTCACACTGGAGGTTGTGCCATTGGTATTTTATAGGAGCTGGCCTGCCACGTGCAGCCCTGCCACATTGCCCCTAGGCCCCCCAGTCAGACCCAGTTTACAGTCGTACCCAGGACACGTATGGATATATAGACTCATAGTAACCAGCAGTTTCTGCCCCGAAGAGCTCAAACTCTGAATGGTCAGAAAGGGCAAAGTGGTGTGGGTTGGGGTGGA